TCAGTACACGGTTGTCCCATTACCTCTTTCATATGCATCTGTTCTGTAGCATGTTTAAGTTGTAGGTATAGAAACCATGGTACTACACTGCCCAGTTTGTGATCTATTGCTGTTTTAGGTAGTATTCCTTTTTTGGAGGTTATGTCTCCAAATCTAATCATCCTCGCCTTTTACAAATGTCTAGATGTGCTGGTGAGGTTGCGTCTCTAAACCAAGGTTGACAAATGAAAGGTTTGAATCTGGATGTCGGTGGTAAAAGTGTTTTATATGTTTTTTTCCATATAGCCAACATAGGCCTCAGGAGTAGGTCTGACCCTTTTAACGTACTTGGGAGAGGAGTATTTTCCCAAAACTTAGCTGGTATCATTACTGGGTAACTCATATCTGAGTAGATTTGGATCCATTCCTGAGGGGGTTATCTGCGTAGAATTTTAGTTATGTTAGCTAATAAAACTGCCTGTCTGTATTCTTTGATGTTAGGGTATCCAAAGCCTCCTCTGTTTTTTGGCCTGCATAGTATTGTGAACCCTATCCTGGCTTTTTTCCCGGCGCATAAAAATCTATTGAGAGTCTTTTGCCATGTGTTTAGGTTTATTCCTGAGACGTCTATAGGGAGCGCTCTAAATAAAAAGATATCTTTCGGGAGGAGAAAAGATTTTATAAGATGAAATCTATCAGCCCATGTGGGGTTTAATTTTTCCCATTTATTGCATTATTTTTTATTAAACCAATTTCCGATTCAATATGCCAATTATTTATATCATTAAGAAAAGCTGTTACTCAATAGAGGTATCAGAAATTGATTGGAACGCTGAACTGGGTATTATTTATTACTTACGAGCCTCTTCAGTTCTCCGTTTTTCTGATGGTCTGCTTGGTTCTCCAATTCCAATAAGGCTGGCAGCCACTACTCGGAATTCATACTCCACCCATGGATTTAAGCCAACCACTGTTGCTGTAAATGTATTACCATCTATGACATCTGGAACTAGGAAAGAAAAAAAAGTCAAGAGCATAAGAGTTATTGTAACCCAATTAGGTAGACGCTGAGTAATGAGTAACATCATAAAACTCAAGTTTGGATAGGGCTGCCAAATCCCCCCGGGGGGCGGAAACCCCCCCCCGCCCCAGAGGCCCATTCCCCGACGCCGGGGAATCGGGCCCCGGGGGGAACCCCGCCCCAGCATGCACGTCACAGGGAAGTGACGTTATGACGCCGGGCATGCTGGGGGCGGGGCCACGGCCATACAAGGGAAAACTCAATGGTTTTCCTTTGTATGGTCGTGGCCCTGCCCCCAGCGTGCCCAGCAACATGACGTCACTTCCCTGTGACGTGCATGCGGCATGCGTGCGCTTCGCACACGCGCGCACGTGCCAAGAGCCAAGCTGGAGTCCCCCGCCGGAAGGGTAAGTGCCAGTTGGCAACCCTAGGTTTGGATCTCCTGAATTTGATGATTAACATGTTGTATAGCAGTATTAGCAGAATGCTATGGAAGATGCAGCTGAGCCTGTAGCTGGCCGCTCTCTCTTTCATCTCTGTTTAATTTGAAATGGCAAATAAGATGCATGCTGAAAAAGCCCTGAGATAAAAAATAATCAGGTACTGACACATGCTATGTATAAAAAGATCTCTGTTGAGTTGGACCATCTAGTCTAGTATCATGTATCCAACAGTGGCTAACAAGTTGTCTCTGAATGCTTACAAGCAGAACTGGAAGAAAACTGCTCTCTCCCATCATATGTTCCCAGCACGTGGTAATCAGAAACACACTGTCCCCCATGGCAGCTATCACAGCTAACAGCCACTGATGGCCACTACCATGCTATCCTGTCTCCACTAAATGGATGAGGGCCTTTGTGCTGCTTGTGGCTTTAAAACGGTAAAGCAGTGTCCATGGACAGGAGACGATGAAGTAAATCTTAGTTGCTTCCTGTCCTTACTTTAAAAGGCATCATTTCACTGGCTAATTTTTAGCCTCCAGCAACTCTTGAGAGATGACTTAGGTTGCGAATTGTGATGGCCAGGGACACCCTTTGAGCTTTACAGCCAAATGGAGATTTGAACCTGGGTTACTCACAACTCTACAATTCTTTTGTCAGTGTACCATACTGCTTTTCTAGCTCAGCTTCAAGGAAGCACACTGAAGACTGCACAATCATTGAGTATGTTATTTCCCCCCCTAATCAAAACATTCATGTGGATGGTATAGTACACATGTTAGCCCACAGATCACCCCTGCAGAAGGGCAGTTTATAGAGAATGCTCCTTGTTATGTATTGGGATTGAGTCATCCCTGATTGAATCACCCTAGGGGACTGGCTGAGCTTGGAGCACAAGAACAACAGCCAGCCAGGACTCTGGAATAAACCAATCAAGTGGTAATGTTTTGTAAATAGCCTATCACGGGGAGTGGGTGTATGTGGGGTGTGGTGTTTTGCATGCATATAAGCAGGGCTTTGGCCCTGCTAGAGTTGTCTTAGAGTTAAGCTGGAATCACTAATAAACTATGAGCTGATCACTATACGCGTCTCAAACCCAGTGTATTTCACCCCAAAGTCCCCTGTATGCGCGCGTGCGTGTGTGTGTGCCTGCACAGGCTGGCCTAGGAGTAGATCAGGATGAGGCAAGAGTGCGTGCACTAAGGCCAAGATGGAGCAGGACCAAACAAAATGGATGCTGGCAAAAGACAAGCCTGGAAATACCATTTTGGGAAGGTGACTCTAGGTAGGGCATCTGCCTGCTAATAGTTTCCTCCCCACCTGAAAACAAAGAGATACTTAATCTCCATAATGGAATCTTCATTCTGATATGATCTCCCCACACCTGGCCATGCCCTTCCTGGTCTATTTGCCCTAATCAATGGACTATTCACACAACCTGGTAGTTTTTCTCTCCCACAATCAAAGATCGTCAGTGAAACATTAACATCTTTTTTTTTTTGTTAACAATGCAACAGGAAACATGTTTCTGTCCACACTGGACAGAACTTATCAGACAACTGTTAGTTACACTCATGCAAAACATCACATTTCCCCAGGTTCTTTGTCCATTTCTGGGAATGCGCACATTGTTTACTCCCAGCTGGTCACATCAGTACATTGTGCTGAGGGGCAAACTTGCCATCATGCCCTGAGGTAGAATTCTGCCCAATAATGACAAGTGCAGTTCCATTGCTGTGTATCTGTGATAGGTGCCTCCTGACAAGTCCCCCCAAAATTTGTTTGGGTTCCTTTCCATCTTCACAGTCTCTTCTCTGTGGACTTCTGCACATCTGGATTGGTAATTATAACTCCCAACAGCCTCCTGTTATTCCCTCTCACCTCTGTATTTCCATTACTTGTATGTTTTAATGTAAGTTTTATTTCTGTGTGCATTAGGGTTGCCAGCCTCCAGGTGGGGCCTGGGGATCTCCCGCTTTTTCAACTCATCCCCAGCCGAAAGAGATCAGCTCCCCTGGAGAAAATGGCTGCTTTGAAGGGTGGACTCTATGGCATTGTACTATGCTGAGGCCCCTCCCCTCCCCAAACCATGCCCTCTCCTGGCTCCACCCCCAAAGTCTCCAGGTATTTTCCAACCCAGACTTGGCAACCCTAGTGTGCATGCATTTTATTAGGATTTCTTCTAATAATAAAAACAACTCTTTTGGTTAAGCCACTGACTGGCTCATTTCTGAAAGCTTCTCTAAGGGAAAGATCCCCGTAAACTTTGGTGGAGAAACCTTGCTGTTTTCCCCCTCTCGCAAGCCTCTGTCTCCTTGCAAATTCCACCAAGAAAAACAGGAGACAGCCCCTTTTGGGCAACACATAGCATCTGGGGGTAACACACATGGGGTCATGGGCTTCACAATCAGAAGCAGTAAACCTCTAAATAGCAGTGCCTGGAGGCAACATCAGGGGGAGGCCTTGGCAGGGGTTTGAGAGGAAGAACTTAAATGGCAGTCCGGAGAATACAGGAGGAGATGATCCTTCAGGTATCTTTGCCCAAAGCTCTTTAGGGCCTTAAAGGTAAGAATGAGCACTTTGAATTGTGCCTGGAAACAGATATGTAGCCAGTGCAGATCTTTCAGCACAAAGGTGATACGCACAATCTCCGTAACAAACCCCTGCCTGGTCACCACATTTTGGACCCACTGAAGTTTCCTGCTTGCTTTCAGAGGCAGCCCTATGTAGAAGACATTACAGTACTGTAACTTGAATGTGATAGGAGCATGGATCACTGGCCACATCATGCATTTCAGTAGATATTCATTTGCAAAACGTGTATACCACTTTTCAGTAAATTTCAAAAAGATCAATAAATAATCATTAATATTTGCCAACATTTCCCGACATCCAATTTCAAAGACACTAAAGGATCAAAGAAATGCATAACATCAGTCAGTAAAAGGCAGGCAAAATACAATTTAAGGTGAAGGGAATCTGTGATATGGATCAAGCTCACCTACCCAAACCCATCTGAACCAAGTCAGTCTTCATCAATGTTCACAAAGCCAGCAAGAATGATACCAGAACAATTCATCACATATCTTCTGATTTTAGATGACTTATATATTCATTAGAAAAAACCCAAGAGGTACACACACATTTTTCTCAATTAAGGTAATATATCATCAGTTTTTACATTTATAGAATGCTTGAAGAGTTACTTTTTTGGGGAATGTCAAGAAGTAGATTTACCTGTATTAACTGCTTGCCATCCCACAGAAAAAGGGGTTCTTGCTTGAATAACATATGTTGTGATGGGACTATGGTTGTCTGCTCCTGGCCTCCAGGATACTTGAGCTGTTGTGTCAGTGATTTCATCAATCGTCACAGCTTCAGGTGGACCTGGTGGACCTGTTGTAAAATACATACACAATGTTTCAACTCCCATCAATGAGACTTACCCAGAATAAAACATTCAGTAGAAATATTCCCCATATTTACTCATTGGACCAAGTTCAGCTCAAAGTAGAAGTTAATAACATCTAAAAAGAAATCAACAGGCTACTTTGACAATATATTTTCGGTTCTTTGCAGTTCCTTCATCAAGACTGGATTTCCATTTAGCCTGTTAAACATTATAAAACATTAAGTAAAGCTACCTTTCCCATTTTTAGTTCATGAAGAAATTCTCATTTATTTCCTACCTGAAACTCATTTTTACCTCCTTTAGATTGTGAGCTGCTCTTGACTACTTGCATTTTAAAGATAGTATTTAGGATACTTCATAGAAAACAACCCTAAATGCATATTTTTGTTCCACTGAAAAGACATTTATGTTAAAGGGATAGGTATTTTTGGCTGCTGCTTTATGAGCATTCTAAAAAAGCAAGAAGAAGAAGAAGAAGAAGAAGAAGAAGAAGAAGAAGAAGAAGAAGAAGAAGAAGAAGAAGAAGAAGAAGAAGAAGAAGAAGAAGAAGAAGAAGAAGAAGAAGAAGAGTGGTTCTTTGACGATGCAAGATGACAACCCAGTTAGCTACTTTTGAATCAGAAGAATGCATACTGTTGCTATGATCAAAATAACTTATTTCTGGAAAACAGTCCTCTCTCATATACAATTAATAGCAGGCATGGAGGTTCTTCTTCTACTGGAGGTTTTGTTTCTTAATTACTGACCACATGACTGTCCCTCTCTGGTGCATAAAGATTTAATAGCTACTCTGATAAGACTCTGTGAGGACGAGAATAGCTTCCCTTTGGAAAAACCGATCTGCACCAACTTTGACTGTTTGGTTCCAAAAATTATGGGACCAATATATTGTGGAAAACATCACTGATAAAATTAACAGAACACTATTATTCCCGAGCAAATCCAATTTGGATGAAAAATGGTCCCAGCTACTTGAATTTTTATCTCATCGACAATTCATCCCATATGAATGGTCTCAATTGTAGCAATGGATATAACACTCAAGGAATGGATATAACACTCAAGTTAAACTTCAAACCCCTTCTCTCTCCATTCTATTCTAGGGGGCAACTCCAGAGAGAAGGGGTTTAAAGTTTAAACCCCTTCTCTTTTCGCCCCCCCCCCCGCTGGTCAGCTGGGGAAGGGAAGGGGAGGCTTTTGAAGATGCCTTCCCCCCCTTTGCTTCCCCTTCTGACATCACTTCCAGTGAT